GCCTTCATGTTCCACAAGGTGTTGTGCCAGTGCACTCACAACTCACTGGTTGTTGTTGTTGTTGTCGTTGTTGTTGTAGGAAGTTCATAAAGGAGCTCAATATTCCGTACTTCACAATGCACGACGTGAGGAGGTTGGGCATTGGGAGTGTCATGGAGACCACTCTCAGAACGATAGGGCGATTTTGGTGAGCAGTCTTCCTAACCATGCATTTGTGGCAAGATCAAATGTGATCACATGTGTCACGTGAATACGGTTGGCATTGCAGTCCCAATTGTCAAATCCACCTCAGCTTCGACATTGACGGCATCGATCCCAAGTACGCTCCCAGCACAGGCACCCCAGTGCCCGGTGGTCTGTCTCTGGAGGAGGCCAAGTACATTTGCAAGACACTTGGTCAAACAGGTAGGCTCACATCTGATGCACTTTGCTCGTGTTTGGGCCGTGCCAGCAGTAATGGACTCGAACTGGCTTAGTTAAAGTTTAATATGAGCATTGCTATCCGTTTTAGTCGTAATCTAATTGTTCATATAGTTGAGGTTGCAGAGGCCCCAATTTTCTAGCATGACTTTTCTGCTTGATGTGTACAACGATTTGATTCTGCTTTGTTATTAAGGTCGGCTAAAGTCTATGGCGATCACAGAAGTCAACGCATCACTCGGCTCACCTGAAGATGCAACCACCACATTGCATGCTACTCTTGAGATCATCAGAAGTGCTCTGCTTCTGGACTAAAGGAGCACACTCATTCGATTACTTTGCGTGCCGTACTTAAAAAAAGCAAACAAATTAACGCATTTATTCTTTTTGTAGAGTAAAACCTTGTGGTCTAATTTAGTTTTTTTCGATCCGACTGGACGATGTGCACCATATTCTTTACAGTTGAGTCAACTAGCAGTATGACAAGGTCTGATTCTTATGAGTTTTATCTCTTCTAGAACTGGAGTCAATGTTCTGCCCAGGTGTAACTTCAATTCCTTAAGCAGAGTTGGTTTTCGTGTCATGAAGGATCATGTTTTACATTTCCACTGAACACGGTTGGAGGTCATGTTTACTTACTTAATGAAAGCTGGATGGCAAGTGCTTACAAACTCATAGTGGCATGACGATTATTTAAAAAAAGGTGCCATAGGTTTCGTGTTCTGGCTTCTGCCTACTCCACCGATCGCGGACGTCCATCTTCCTGAGTTCCTACATGGAACGTTATATTTCGAAAAGCAATATTGTCACAAATTCCACTAATGTAGCACAGTCCTAAATCCTTAGCATTGTGTGTTTTTCACCTAAATGCTCGCAGTTAAAAAGTCTTCTTTCAGGAGCTCTGAAGAAAATGACCGCGAAAACATGCACGAAGTCTCCATTAAGTTGCAAGTGTGGGAATTTTCCATCGTAAGCTGCGGTGCAGCCCAGATCTCATCTATTGAATTCCCGTTGGGTTCAAGATGTGGCATTTGTAAAGAAAAACACCTCCTTTCCAAGACGATGAGGAGCATGATTGGGACAACTCTCTGTAGAACGATTAAACAAGGCTCTTGATTGCCCGTTAAAATTCCCATTAGACCCTCCCAAAGAGTGATTAACAGGTGGGGTTAATTAGAAAATTATGCCGATTCTTTCATTGCATTTTCTACGCAGATTCGGACTTTCACTTATTTTTTATTATGCAGCATTTTTTCCGCAGACCATTTTAAGCAACTCTATTTGTCGATCCACTTCGCATCAATAGCGGTGCACCTAGGCTGGCATTTACTTGTTTTATGGTGCGGTTTACAATTCGCTGCTTCAAGCGTATTGTCTCTCTCACTTTAATGGTGCTCCATGAACCAACCTTCTTGAAAAAATAGATAAACTAAAGAAGTTCCCAGCTTTTAAAAAATTGCCAAAGCTTTTTATGTGCATAGACAGTTTTTACATCATTCGTAAATAGTAAATGTCGACTTTACACATATGAGGCTACACCACACAGAAGATGTGGACGGCTAACCATTAAAACAAGTGCACAAAGGAATAAGACATTCTTAGTTCCCTTAACACAGTCGTAATACAGTAGCGAAACCACTTATTGGTACGAACAAAGATGTTGGAATGCCTGATGAAGCACATGCATGTATGGCGCAGGCGACGTAAAAGATAAACATTCTTGTTTATCATAAACACCAAACCACAACATGCGATAGCACCTGATTCGGATATTCTCTCTTCTCCTCCTCCTTTGCAAGCGCCTAATATGGAATGTCTGGTGCTCTAGTACAAACCTTAAAGCCACCTCAAAAATAAAATCAAACACCACGTCTTCTACACATTGAAAGTGGCTTTAAGCGAATCGAGGAAGGGAGATGATGACAGTCTGGTGAAGTTACTAAGCGTGAAAATATTACAATAATTACTTGATAGCATTTATTGTAACTAAAACTTTGGAGTTCTTCGAAAAGATAAATTCGATATTGGGAAAGTTTTTGGGAGCACTAGGATACCTTTCATCTTCCGGTTTAAAGACAGCAATTTTGTCCTTTCTAAGACTGTGTTGGCGCAAAAAAGCAAAGCCGGCAACAATTTAAGTGCAATTTGCAAAATGTTTTCCTTAAGTAAAAAGGAAGGCTTTGACAAAGCGGTATTCAAGATTTTCGATGCCTAAACTAAATTACGTTAAACTTATCCATCTATGGATGGGATGACATAACGTGTGGATCTCGCGAATCTTATTATTCCGACACTGGACCAATATCCTCACTTGGTGATGGGATGGATCTTAATGCATTAGTGCGCTATACTCCTTATTTCTACCTTACGCTCAAATTCGCTGGCACGTCCTTAACGCTTACTACCTACGAAACTCTGGATTGTAACTTAAGTTGAAAGGGCACAACGGCAATCGGTATATCTACCACCTGTCAACTGCCTCGTCCTGCTGAACGGTGTTGATGAGTGCAAAATATCTGTGACGGAAGGAGAGTGCAAGAGCAGCAGGACATTTGAAGTGACCCGAACAATCGCGCAACGTACATCTCTTGGTTGCATGACCTTTAATGCGAGGAGGTGGAGAGAGGGAATCTGGCGATGGGGAATGATGTCTTGCAGTGAAGTTGGCCTTCCCTTCAAGCAGTGAACTGGATCCGTTTGTCAATTATACGACGCATCGAAGCCATGACGTGCAGAAGAACACAAACGATTGCACTGGTATGTCATCAGCCTATTTAAGTGTGGCACTCTTATTTCATGCCAACCCTCAGAGGCTATGCGCGACGTTTGCTGATAACGTATCTCTACCCATGAAGCACCAATTAAAAGTGCGACTGACCGAATGGCGGAGAGAGATGCCACGTGTGTTGCACGTCATGGTCTCACTCGGTGATGTTCGAGGGTCGTGAAGTGGGTGCAACTTATTGCAACACTCGCGTAACTACATTGTTACTTGAGAAATGGCAAGTTGTCAATTCCCTGTCAAATGACCCACGAGTTGTATGTGGGGATGGCAACGGAAAGAGGTTCGTTGTGGATATCCTCGGTGTGGCTTTTGGGGCATTCCTTCTTGCAACCGCTAGTGCGTGTCAGCTGCATTGCAACGCTAATCAAGCGCATCTCCTTGGGCTCACTCTCGAGTGTACAAAGTCGCACATCCTCTCTTCGGTTATATCATCGCGGTATCGCGTTCACGCCTCACAGCCCTCTGCAATTGCATGGAGTGTATGGGTGGGACCCTCCGCACAAACAATCGAGGCACACTTGTTGATAGTCTAGCTCAATGCACTGTGATGACATTGAGGGCTTCGTGTAACCTTCAAGCACTTCGGACTGCCTGATTGCTGTGCACGAAAGCGCGCGACTTCTTTGCAGTGTGTTGTTGATTTTGGTTGCGTATCTGTGTCAGATCAGTCAATCATTGTCGAAATGCATTGTCTTGACACAATATGATTTACCACTATAACCGTGTCGACAATTGAATGAAGCGATGGTTGTCGAATGGAGTTGTGTCAAGTGGTAGAGAAGTTGGAGCGTTTGGTAGCGCCATCCAGTATCGAGATGATGTGATATTCAGGACGATGAGAGCTTGGTATCAAGGCGCACAAGTCGGAACAAAGTTATAAATCATTATCCCATGGATTTCAAGTTGCTGTGCTCGTGGTCATGCGACTAGATGCTTAAGGGCGCATATACTTGGCGAGGGTGCATTCTGTCGAAATCGACGAGGAGCACGTATTTTTTAAACAAACCTAAGCGGTCATCGGTGGAGGAAGACTTTTGTACAGAAATGTTGCTGCAGTTTGTAGCAAACATTATCACTTGATGCAAGGTTGCTCTGTGAATAAAAAATGAAGTTGCGCAGCCCGGAACGTATGGCGGAAGAAGACACTTCGTTCGGCAAATATTTTATTCACATCTACGCGATTTCCATGAACCAACAGAAGGGAACCGTCTTCTCCAAATCCACTCAAAGAATCAGCCTACCACTTAACTGCACCTGCAAATGCATACTTTTAGTACTACGCTGACATAACCCTACTGACTGACAATAGAGCAGGTCTGCTTCAAGTTCTCTCGCTTGGTCTGATGGTGCTATCGACAGTCCAAATGGGAATCAGTACGATATGAACAGTGATAAAAGAGTGTCTAATTCGCTTACTGATGATATTATAGTTCGAGTTGCCACTTTGATAAGTGGCCGAGAGTCGAGCATACGCCATAGACGCAGCACTAGCCGATGCTGATGTCACACCTAGCTAAGCGAGGTCGACTCGAAATGAGTCCTCGTCATCACTACGCCAATGCAGTGACATGGAGAATTGAGGAAGAATGTTCACTAACTGACCACCACAAACAGTTTCAATGAAGATGAGCATTGTGGCTGACCGGAGGCTGGAGGAGAGTAGAGTGAGGGAAAGCTGGATTGGTTTACAGGCACCAGCGGCAGGATGCCTCTCGACAGTGGCAAAAGCAGCCCGAGGTGCGAAGGGAACGCACCACATCAATTCAGCTCGACTTTGTGTGTAGGGCTCATTCCAGAAGAGGCTGTTCCAGTGCACCTTATCACAAGCAGTGCAAATGCGCAAGGGTAGTAAAACTGTCATCAATGAAAATGGTGCTGTCAATGCAAAAGTAGGAGTAGGTAGCAACCTCCAATGCTGCTGTCATTAACTCTTTCACCTAGTGTTGAGACGTTGGAAATAAGTAAACCTACTGCAGTTCCCATTGTTACATCTGGCGTTCCCCCTTCAATAAATGCGTGTCTTAGGTGGCATCGCAGTCTCATGCTCGACTTGGCATCAAATGGTTTGTAGACTCTTCCTCAAGCCAAACAAATCTCACCATTAAACGGATGCAATTGAATGCTGCGAATTGATATGTGTGGGAGGGATGCAGACGTGATGACGAATCGCCTTAACTTAATGTCGACCAGCTCTCTTACGGATATTGCGGCACCAGATGGTGCTTAGAGAAGTCAAGGTTTTGTTAAAGAGCAAATTACTATCCAAACACGAGGTACGGGTGCTAGAAGGCCGCAGTAGTTCCCTACGTCTTTTCACACTTTCCTAAGTCTTTCACTCTTCCCCTGTGGCAGTGTTAACTTAGACGAATGTAGTTGATTTTGCATCAACAGAACATTTCCGTCAGCCACCCTAAGCCAATATGCTCGATCTCAATTGCGGAAGGGTGGGAGGTAATGGTGACTACTGCCAATATATGCTTTAGATTTTCACATAAGGCTTCGAAATTGACAACTGAAAATAGTCATTCTGGAATGGGATCAAGACATGCAGTGTTTTAATGCAGAGCGCATTTGATGAATTGTGATTAGGCGGATTAATTATTTACATTGCAATTATTACAATATTCCGATGGGCCGAAAGGGCGCGGAGGACGGTGCAGACAAACCCGAGTTGCCGAAATCTTCCCACCGCCATCTCCGCGAAAACCCCTAAAGCACATGTACAACATGCAGTCGGCCGCCACGGCCAACCGATTAGCTGACACCATTGTAAAGCATTTGCTGATGGTCTATTGCCTCCATCATACCGACAGTCCTAGTTTCGTCTCATCAGGCTCTGTCTATTCTGCTTTGCGTCCAATTCCATCCACACGACAGCTGGACTGGTGGTGAAACGGAAGACTACAAAAGATGGTTGTCGAAAAGGAGTTTGTGGAGACGAAACCTCTGTGACCATAACAGGACTCTGTCTACAGTCGGTAGTAAACAAGTTCGAAAATGATCGGCTTAGGCCTCTTTACAACCACAAGATTTCGTTGGGAATGCAGGTACTGCGCCTTGGATACTATCGGCAATGCAAGTGTTGACGTCATTGTTGTTATGAATATCATTTGCTACACATCCTCATCCTGGTGGCGCAGCACCATCGACAGTGTAAGCGAAAATCACGAAGTTACGGCAGCCACTTTGGAAGTACCATCAAGTTTGCGATTTGGCAGACTGAGATGAGGCTTTGCAATTTGGACTATGGTGTGGGAAATGCAACAAAATAGCACACAGCTCTAGCAAAATTGACGCTAGTAACCAACAGCGATTGCATCATGACCGTGTGCCAAGTGTGTAGCACCTTTCCAACCGCCTACTCTTTACGCCAACATGATGTGTTTCATGGTACCGAGAAAGTTGTGTGCAAATTAATACCGAGTGTGCAGCTTTGTAGTTTATAGTGAAGGAATGAGTATGACCACGTCTCAACAAAAGCCCCATACTGGGTTCATCGGTCATTTCAAAATGGCGTTAAGTAATCATCAGAAATTATTGCCAAAAATAATGCGACCGCACACATCATCGAAACGTCGACCCATGGGCAGGGTTGGGAAGAGGGCGCCCTTTTCCTGGAGATATACTCAGGCCACTTTTGGAAATTTCGACTACATAGGTAA